CACAGTAAATTTAAATGAAGAACTAGAAATGCAGAGGAAAGAGGAATGAAAGCACTCAACCATCCGAATAGAAACTTCCTAAGTGCAATCGTTGTTTCAGTTGCAACGCGTAGCTGGATATGGCAAACGTGCACCGAACTCGGCTACTTCCAGACAACCGACTACGGAAATAGCGCAATTTTTGGAAGCACGATACCAGTGGAGTAAGTTCTTCATTCAGATTCGTCTTCTTCTGTCTTCTAGCGTACTGTTTAAGCTTCTTCTCTGATCAGTGTATCGAGCTCTTTGGTCCAGAGTACACTCTCACTGAGACCTACAAACGAGTTGACGCTGTCAGCAAAAAATATGGCGGAGCTACGGCATACAGGGTAAGCCTGTTCCACTGTGTTACCTTACTGATAACAACTTCATATTTGAGAATTACGAGTGATACCACTTTTCCCTAATCACTGTGACCGCTCATTATTGGAAGTTGCGACCAAATGTAACAAGGGAAGGCTAAAATTCTCATGTCAACTTCAAATGGAGACCTGGTTGGATCCATACAGTCGAGAATGCTGGATACAAATATGGAGGCCAAAACTATTACGGGAATTTTAGCGAGTGTGAGCAGTCAGAGCTGATAGGAAAAGTAGCGTCAGTATACGGAGCGAGCTGATCTGAGCGTATGAGCATTTTTAATCAAATTTAAAACTTTGCTTCTTAAGTTAGATATAGCTATATAAATGAGTCATAAGGTCTGGTCACCAATATGACATTCATTTTTGACACAGGAACTAAATGGCACCAGATGGCTTTTCGATGTATTAGTTGCAAATTTTGGCCGCTCACAACTTTCCTGAAAAGTTCCTGTGGCAGTTTTGACCATTTCGATCTACCTAGGTCACGATCTAGAGTTGCATGCAAAATTGAAGGCTTTCCTGGTAAGACTTCAGATTGGACCTAATCTGTCATCGCTATAAATTTTGAACTGCGCTTACGGGGCAAAATACGCTATCAAGAACGTTAAAGACAAGCCCCAGAAAAAGTTAACTGAAGTGGTCTCTTCGGTAGGTAATGGAGATGTTTGCGTCTCCAACATCGCCTTTGCGCCATTAAAGCCACGAGTCAGGATTAGGTGACCATAGAAGGCCTTTCCATCAGTCAGGATTAGGTGACCATAGAAGGCCTTAATATTTCCAGGAATGCGCTCAGAGGGGTGATGCCACACTCCTGACTCGAGATTGCGCGCCGTCAAGGCCTCTGGCCTACTACTTACAGCGATGGGTTCGTTCATCAGCTGGTCTGCCGCAACAGCCGCTTCTCTGTGCCGTCTCGTACGACGTGCTCTCTCGCATTTGCTATCTTCCCTGCTCGCTCTGAATTCTCGTCCCTCCACCCGACCTTACAGGAAATCAAATTACTTAATTTTAGCATTTCCGATTATTAATTTTGATTTCTTTTTCACTTCCTGTCCTCTCCGCACAATCACCTTCATTATTGAGTGCTCTTCCCCACCAGTTTAATCCCGGCACGTGCCTCTAAAGCCACGAGTCGGGATTGGTGTCAAGAGGTAGTCATCCTAGAGTGAGAAGGAGGGGTCTCCAAGCCCAGAAGCCGCGACACTGCCGCAGGGCGCTAAGGCCTTGCCTTGCACGCTTCCGGTGCTGGCACTCTATCAATCGCGGCATACGTGCCCTCTCGCTCACAACGTACTGTATCGCGTTTTCTCCCTCTCCGCAGCGCTGTCTCTTCGTCATACCACAACCGCCCTCACACGGAACTTTAGTGTTTTTGCTTGTTCTCCACTCTCACATTGCTAATCGCATTTCTTGCCTAATTTTCAAACAAAATATCCACCAATTCGATCTTAACTCCGACCTTTAAAGGATTAGACCGCAAAGCACATCTACAAGACCTCGACATCTAGAAGACCACGAAATGACACCGATACCCCGATGTTCTGAAGTCAAAGTGTCAGCTAGACGTCAGGAGAACTTTATTGTAGCGCAGCAGTACACTGATCTTTTTGATCAACAGAAGCGTTTCCACACGACAACTCGGAACCGAAATCCGTTTCATGCCACTGAAATCATCTTAACAGTGATGAAAATACCCTAATAGGAAAATTACCTGGGCATCAAATTTGCTCCGAGTTATGTCAGTTTACCGTAGAAGCTTTTTCTCTACATGTAAGTACCACTGTATGTGTATGAATAGTTATCAACCCTATTTGCAGGGCAGCAAGGTTGTGTTCCCGAACGGTTCATTGATCCATGGAAATCGCTTGGACTTCTCGTTGGAAATCCGGACAAGAAGGTGGATGCCTTTATGATTGAAGGTACGCTGCATTCTTCACAGAGAAAAATTATCAGAAGCACTCAAGCCTGGATCTGGTCAGACCGGGGAATTCGTCCTATCTTACAGGTACGGCTCACTGCGCTGACATGTATCCGGCTTCTCCGAACGACAAGCCATCACTAACAGCAGCGAGGACACGGATTCAAAATAACCTTGATGCATGGATCCAGGAAGCGCTCGCTCCAACAGGTACAGAATTTTGCACAGCCCAGTAGTTAACTCTATCGACATTTTGAATCCCTGATAAAGCGCCTTGCTAGCAAATGGGCGCTATAACTTACGCTGATCCCTGGAGTTACGAAATTCTGCGAAATGCTCCATGAGGGAAGCAAGAGTAAAATAGTAGAAGAGCACCAGATGTTCTGTTTATTTTCTGGGAACAATTGCTGTGTGTTTAAGTGAACCTTAGTGAAATGAACTTTTTACAACCACCTTTGCAAATAGTACCAGGGCTGCCTGAGAGTTTGGTGCTAACCAAATTGGAGGAGAGGGGACAATTTACCACTGCGACGCGCAGCATGTTCGCACTCCCCAATGTGGACGAGGAATCCTTGTACCACGGTGATTAGACAGTTCAAGGGATGAAGGTGGAGAGCCACTTGACAGGTACATAGACTGGAATGTGCGAGGGTGTTTGTCGTTGTAAGGATGTGTCATGTCGCTCGCCGCGACGGTGAGTGCCCTCTTTAGGCTGGTGTCAGAGTCCGCGATGGGATTTGCGTGAGTCGCGCGATGGGTCACAGAAATAGCATGTGCTCGATCAATACTGCAAGGTGCTCTCCAATCCGCCGCCATCTGCTTGATGGTGATGGTTGAATGACGACTGTTCATTCATTCTACTTGTTT